TTCTACTCCAATAGCTTCATACCTCGCACGTCTCGCCTATGGAACTCACTTCCCTATTCCTGTTTCCCTGAGAGCTATAATCTCCAACTATTCAAATGTAATGTCAATCGACATCTCCAGTTACCTTGCTCTATCCACTATCCTTCTCCTCATCCTTTCTTCTATCACTCCTATCTGCTCTTGCTCCAAATCTTCTGCAACCCCCTGCATCCTAGTGGCTAAAAAAAAAAAAAAACTCTACATATTTGTAAAGTCTCCGTTTAAACACTGATATTTTACTTACTGTTTATTTATTTATTTTTTGTTCTTCCCTTCTAGGAGTAGACATGTTTGCCTATCGTTAATTTTCCACTCGTCCCCAGGTCTTTTGAACAGGAATAGAGATTTTTTCTTTTGTTTCCTGTTAAGGATTGGGTTTCCGGGTCCTTCTAAATTTCTACTGCAACTCTTTACTTCTAATGTCTCCATATAAACTCAAAATTTTTTTATTTACTCTTTATTTATGTGTTCTTCCTTCAATAGAAGTAGACATGTTTGCCTATCGTTAAGTTTCCACTCGTCCCCAGATCTTTTGAACAGTTTCAACTGCAATTTGACTCAGCATAAAAACAGAAATTTTATTTACTATTTATTTATTTATTCCCTCCATACGAGCAGATAGCTTCGTCTATCGTCCTGTCCACACCCCTTTTGAAGAGGAGTATGATTTTATCTCTTGTTTCCTTTTTAAAATTGGGGTTTTGGTTCCTTTTAAAGTATACTACAACTCTATACTTCTAACATCCGCACCAAAGAACCTGAATTTTTATTTGCTACTTATTTATTTATTTTTTTGCTCAATAGCAGTAGATAGGTTCGCCGATCGTCCGATTCACGCCCATCCTCGGTCTTCTGAACCGGAATTAGACGTTTATCTCTTGTTTCTTGTTTAAGAATTGAGTTTTGGTTCCTTTTAAAGTTTTTTTCTTTCTCTATCACTGTCAGTAACCCCCTTGCCTCTTAGTGGCTTTATTGCCTTGCTTGGGGTGAAATGAAAAAGTTTAAAAAATTAACCCGAATGTAAATGACGTAAATAAAATAAATCTTTGTAAGCCCACATTTTATGAAGGCCTCTATGGTTTCTTTTACACGACTTAGGTTTAGCTCTTTGCTAAAACGTTGGAGAGACAACTGGTTATCTTAAAATTTCAGATATAATTGAGCAATAAATGTACATATTTTCTTAAATGTATTTAATAAAGAGCATTTCGTACCGAAATAGAAATAATGTATAAGTAGACACAAGTCCTGCGTTTGGCACGACGATAAAATTAGGGACAAGTAACCAAAAAAAAAAAAAAAATGAGAGCGAGAAAGAAATAGTTATATGCCCCCGTTTAGGAGAAGACATTTCAAGAGATTAAGAGATTAGAAATATTTGGATAAGGAATTAGAAGTTCGTGGAAATTATGTGCAGCGTTGTCTGGGGATATTGTGGAGAGCAGCTGAGAATACTGGAATTGAAGAGTAAGTTTATAAAGTCTAAGGCAAAAAGGAAATGAAATGGAAGATAAAAAAAAATGTCGATGAATTGATAGAAATGCAAAGAACAGGACGAACAGACGGATGTGTCGATGAGTGAGTTAAAAGAAAAACAGTGAAGTTGGAGCAAACAGTAGGCGTGCAGGAAGATAGAAATCTTTCTAAAGTAGGTAGGTAGGTAGGTGAAGAAAATCTACGTTGAAGACCTCCATATATATGGATATATATATGTGAATATGTTAAGATAAAGAACAAACAGGAAACGTTTATCAATCTAACATGTTTCACTTTTCATAAAGGTTTCACTAGAGACAGCGATGTGGAGAAGAAAAAAAAGAAATTCTCTTTATTTTTACACTTGTGTTGTTTGAATTTCATTGGGCAATCACGTTTCGGACGCATTCAAATTTTTGAACAAACGTTAGTCGAATTTGTGACGGATTCCAAGCCTAAATGAAAAGCTGTAAATATTGTTAGAAGACAGTCAATCAGTTATGTGCCATGCGTGATACACGCTTAGGCGGTCATGTATCTTTCGATACATGACGGACGAGGCAGTTCTTTGCCCGCAGTAGGTTGCCATTTCTTTCTGCGCTAGACAAGTTGCCATCTAAGGCGGTCAGTCCTGCTATTTACCCATAGTTGGGGGAGAAGAAGAGGATTGATACAAGAATATAATTAAAATTCTTAAAGTGTTTAATTATTTAGTCACTTATGTGCCATACGTAATACACGCTTAGGCGATCATGTGTCTTTCGATATATGACTAACGAGGCGGATTTTTCCCGCATTAGGTTGACATTTCTTTCTGCGGTAGATCAGTTGCCATCCAAGGCTTTAGAACCCGGTCTGTCCTGTTGTTTGCCCAGAGCTGGGATGGGGAGAAGAGGATTCATAAAAGAATATAATTAAAATTCTTAAAGTGTTTAACTATTTAGTTAGTTATGCGCCATACGTAATACACGCTTAGGCGATCATGTATCTTTCGATATATGACTGACGAGGCAGTTTTCTTCCCGCAGTAGGTTGCCATTTCTTTCTGCGGTAGACCAGTTGCTATCCAAGGCTATAGAACCTGGTCTGTCCTGCTATTTACTGTGAGGGAGAAAAGAAGAGGATTCATTCTTTTCTCAAGTGAATGTAAATGGACTGACTGGAATTCGTAAGTGAATGTAATTCGAACTCGGCTCCCCGATTCCTCAAACCGATCTCCCATCCATTACTCCATCGTACCTCCTACTTGCTATAAGTATGATGTCTTTATCTACCTATATTTCTGAGATGAGGTATTGTAATTATTTACATTATTTACATTGTTCGGACTCTTTTCCTCATCTTTATTGCCATCTTCACGACGTTTCAACCGTTATACGCCCCGGCCTTCTTCAGTGACTTAACCCACATAGAGTTCAATACCTGGCTACTGAAGTTGTGAAAAAAAGCTTGGCGTGTTGAGTTAAAGGGAGATAACTGAGACATCCGGAAGAGGCATGGCACGTGGAACTAGAACAATCTACCAAGGAGGACGAAATAAAGGGTTCAGTTCGAAATTCGAATCACCTATCAATATTTACGGTTTTTCAAGTAGGCTCGAAATCTGTAAATTTCTTGAAAATTGTATGAATGCATCATCTCTCCTCGAATTTGGAACCCCTCGAATAATACTAACGCTGACCTAAAGAGTCGAATACACGTAAAACATGATTGACCAACGACAATGAACTACCAAAGAATAAAAATACAAGAATTTCTTTATTCATTTATCTCCATATTGCATTCTCTGATGAAGCTTTAATAAAAGTGAAACATGTTAGAGTGATAAACGTTTCCTATTTCTTCTATTTTTCATTATTCTGTCGGATCCCGATCCATATTTAATCTCATCTCGCATATATATATATATATATATATATATATATATATATATATAAATATATATATATATAGAGATTGTATTTTCGATATTAATGTTTAGTGTCGTATAACACAAGGTTATATGAATACAACAATCCAGATATCGATGCATTTTTTTGTATAATTCTAGACTGCATAAGTTGTAGAAAAAAAAACGATTACAAATAATAGAAGCATTAATAATAAAATGCAAACCGCCCAGCATCAATAGAGTAGTATTAAATTTAGCAAGAAGATACAAAATATATTTCAATGAGGAAAAAACAAAAGCGATGCGGCAACAAGAAATAACACGTAAAGATGCGATAATTAATAATCCAAATGACACGTGAAGACGCGCGATATTTAAAAAATAAATCTATGAAACTATTATAGCAGGCACACAAAGAAAAACACACACTACAAGAAATCGTTTATAATGGCTTATGAAAGCCAAACGTTAACAGATATTGAACAACGTTCAACAGAAATTTGGGAAATATTTGGAAATATATCAAAAAGGCTCAATAGAGAACTTTTGTTTGTGTTTAACCAAACTTGTATAAAATGACCATTTATGTCCAAATAAAATCCCTCTTTCTGTCTGCCTATCTATCTATCTATCTATCTATCTATCTATCTCTCTCTCTCTCTCTCTCTCTCTCTATATATATATATATATATATATATATATATATATATATATATTTTTTATTATTTTTTTAGCATTACGCCCTGAGCAAGGCGTGAAACCACTAGGATGCAGGGGGTTGCAGAAGATTTGGAGTGATAAAAGAAAGGATGAGGAGAAGGATAGTGGATAGATCAAGGTAACTGGAGATGTCAATTGACATTACATTTGAATAGTTGAAGATTATAGCTCTCAGGGAAACAGTAATTGGGAAGGGTATTCCACAGGCGAGAGGTGCGAGGTATGAAGCTATTGGAGTAGAAGAGACGGCTACATTTAAAAATTTCTACAGTGTAAGGGTGAGAGCGGGATGCCAGCCTCGTAGAGTCTGGGAACCAGTGAAAGCAGCTCACCGGAGCAATTACCATGAAAGTATTTGTAGAAAAGACAGAGAGAGGCGACGGCGCGTCTGTGAGAGAGAGACTGTAGACGAGACGCCAGATCAGGGCCAATTAGATTACATATCCGTCTCTGGATCTTGTCAAGAACTCCGAGGTAAACAGAAGGTGCCCCACACCATATATGGCAGCAATACTCCATGCAAGGGCGAATGGTTGATATGTATATTTGAAGTATCGATTCCGGGGAGAAAAATTTCCTGGCGCGGCACAGGGAGCCAACTTTCCCCGCGGTGGACGATGCAATTGACTCAATGTATTTGTTTCATCTCAGGTCAGCAGTCAACGTGAGACCGAGCAGACGCAAGGAGTTGCTCTCAAGAAGTTGACTATCAGACATTCTAATGGGGGTGGGCAGGGAAGGATCTCTATGGTGATTAATATATATATATATATATATATATATATATATATATATATATATATATATATATATATATCTTTCAAAGCAGGACAATTCAACTTCAATGCTCTTTTTGTAGCTCCCAAACTAGAAGATGGAAGCCCCCAAAATGCAGAGTCCTCGTCACAGCCGCCTTAATCTCCTGCACGTGCTTAAAACGTTGATCCAAAGGCAGCCTTGATTATTTCACAGATTTCTTATAAAGTTGTGTGTTAAACTTGGCACAGTCTGTCTTTCTATGCCAATTTCCTCATATCTATCTATCTATCTATCTATCTATCTATCTATCTATCTATCTATCTATCTATCTAGTTTTAGATATCTATCAATCTATCCAATTCTTGGATATCTATCTATCTATCTATCTATCTATCTATTTCTTGGATATCTATCTATCTATCTATCTATCTATCTATCTATCTATCTATCTATCTAGTTTTGGATATCTATCTATCTATCTATCTATCTATCTAGCTAGCTAGCTAGCTAGCTAACTCTCTCTCTCTCTCTCTCTCTCTATATATATATATATATATATATATATATATATATATAATTGGATATTCATATCTATCTATCTATCTATCTATCTATCTATTTCTTGGATATCTATCAATCTATGCAATTCTTGGATATCTATTTATTTATCTAATTCTTGGATATCTATCTATCTATCTATCTATCTATCTATCTATCTATATATATATCTTTGATATATATAATTTTTGTATGCAATTCTTGATATCTTGGATATCTATCTATCTATCTATCTATCTATCTATCTATCTAATTCTTGGATATCTATCTATCTATCTATCTATCTATCTATCTATCTATCTAGCTAGCTAGCTAGCTAGCTCTCTCTCTCTCTCTGTATATATATATATATATATATATATATATATATATATATATATATATATAGCTCTCTCTCTCTCTCTCTGTATATATATATATATATGTAATTCTTGGATATCTATCTATCTATATATCTATATGCCTTCCAAATCTTCAACTGATAGAACCTTCAGATGTTTTTTACCGGATTTACGAAAGGATAACGCAACCAAAAAACGGTATCTTCATTGGTTAAAGAACTTTTTAATGCATAAATAAAAGCAGTGAACCTCTTAGCGTAAAGTTAAAATAAACACTAAAGTATCGTTACTGTTTTAGTAATTGAAAAAAAAAATGAATTTCTTTGGTTGTAATCACGTCAACAAATTACTGATCACCGTAACACGAAACCCGCCCTACAACATGCTGATCAACATTTCAACTGACCTCAGAATTCTTAGAATATATGCCGCCCCTGCTGTCTGTCGTTAAAGTGTTTTTAATAAAATTTATAACATTAATAAGAATTAGATACATTTTACCGTATTTATTTCCGAAATTAATTGGATAATTTTAAAATTATGAGTGTAACTGAAGCAGAAATACACTCGCATTTAAAACATTTGAATAAATTTAAAACGTTTAAAAACAGCGCAAGTATTCTGTGTTCGGTAAACAGGAAAAACAAAAACATTCCCATCCCTATAGATACGTATATGTAAAAAAAAAAAAAATTACATATTCATTTCAAGTGGAGAAAAATTATCATCTGACTAAATCTGTTATATGGGTGCAGCTATACATGCGCATCAACAGGGGATGCTGGGAATTATAAATTGAATTTATCTATGTTCAGATAGCAAAGTACTTATACGAATGCGAGTAAAAAATAATGAAAAGATTTTATATCAGTGCCTTGTCAGTCGGCTGCAATGAAACTTGTGTGTATAGTGACATATCTCAGACTGATGTCAAATCGGTCGAGTTTCGATCCCGAGTTGAAGCAATCGGATGTCTAGCAACACTGATTATCTGTGATACAGGGAAACAGTCTGTCTGTGGATACTATATATATATATATATATATATATATATATATATATATATATATATATATATATATATATATATATATATATATATATATATATATATATATATATATATAATAGAGAGGAAACGAAAGTGAGATCTGGTAAAGGCCAGTTTTATTCTTCTCTTTTCTTAAACCCCGGAAGGAATAAAGAGACTTGGTCTGAAGATCGCATTGTGACCTGAAATATATATATATATATATATATATATATATATATATATATATATATATATATATATATATACAGTGTAACCCGGATATAAGAGAGTTGTCGGGACCGGAGAAGAAGTCTCTTATATCCGGGTTTCTCTTATATCCGAGTTTGGTCTATTTTGTTTAGGTAAGTATGGCTCTAATTTGGGCCCAGAGAAAATCTCTCTTATATCCGGGTTTCTCTTATATCCGGGTCTCTTATATCCGGGTTACACTGTGTATATATATATATATATATATATATATATATATTTTTTTTTTTTTTTTTTAAAATTCTATAAAATAAAATATAAAAACCTTAGCAACTGAAGATTGCCTGGCTAGGTTATATTGTTTTTTTTTTTTTTTTTTTTCATTCTGAATAACTGAATAATTAAATTTCCGAAGGAAGGGAGCAATTCTTAATTATAAAAGATCAAACACATCCTGACGATCCCTGATTTTAGACGCATATATATATATATATATATATATATATATATATATATATATATATATATATATATATATATATATATATATATATATATATATATATATATATGAGTGTGTGTCTTTGTTGTTTTCCCCCGTGCACGTGTATATTTCTGAGATGAGGGATTGTAATTATTTACACTATTTATATTGTTCGTTCTGTTGTCCTCATTTTTGTTGGCATATTCAGGGCACATGACCCAGTAGATATAAATGTTGTGTTAAACCCAGTAACTTGACCTTGACTTGTGAGTTCAATGTCAGAGTTGAGTTAAAGGAGATAACTGATACGGAGACATCCGGAAGAGGCATGGCACCTGGAAGAAATAAATGACTCAGTTCGAAATTCTGCTCACTGAATAAGGTCGAAACGGCATAAATATATCAACAAAGATGAGGTCAACAATGCGAATTTTGTAATGCTATATATATATATATATATATATATATATATATATATATATATATTAGTACCTACGTTTTGGTGTGCTGGTCGGGCACAAGGTCTATTTTGCTAAAAGTAAACAAATGGCTGAAACGAAAAAGACACCTACCATATATATATATATATATATATATATATATATATATATATATATAATTATTTATTTAAAAATATGATTCCAACTCGCGACATAAGAGGTCTCATGTTTCAAAACAAGAGCTGAAAAAACTTCAATATAATTATTTGAATTAAAATGAGTTAAAGTAAGCTGTGTTCCATCTTCAAGCGAACTTTTTTGAATAACGTATTTCTGAAATTTACGTGTTTTAATCATTGAAATCAAAATTTCCATGGTAACAGCTAAGGAAATTGTTTATATTTTCTATATATTTTCACATAATATATATATATATATATATATATATATATATATATATATAGGAGGTGTCCCAAATCTCACTTTTTCTTTTTTTTATATATATATATATATATATATATATATATATATATATATATATATATATATATAAGAAATGGACAAAGTCCGACAATTTATTTCTTAAAGACATTTTTAAAAAGAACGTTAAACATAAAATGTCTTTAATAAATATATATATATATATATATATATATATATATATATATATATATATGTGAACGTGTCTCAAAAGTCATTTTTCTTTCTCGTTTCAAGTAACTTTTGAAGAGACATGAGGTCATCAGCATTTGACAGCGTATGCTTTGCAGTTTTTAAGTGTATCATTCCCTTGTCCATGGCTCGGCAATTGACGTTGGAACGGCGTTGCAAAATTGCCGCCTGGCAAAAGGGTTTTCAGTCCCCGACTGCAGTTCAGCGCGAGAACAATTTAGGCTATTCATAGCAAGCTTCTCGAATCAGGATCTGTTCTTGACAAGCCACGCAACGGAAGGCCTGCTATTACCGCCACAGATAAAACACCGATTCCCTGGAGCTGTCGTTCGCGCAAAGCCAGGGTAAGTCCATCACTGGAACTCAGTATTAACAAAAGCTTGATGCAACGGTTGCTTCGAAAAGAGATAAAGATCTACCCGTACCGACTTTAGGATCTTTAAAAGGTACTTGGCAAAAATATTTGCTAACTAACAGTCTAACTCTCTGCTCTCGGGCGGAGAGGAACCTGGACGAGTCTCCGCCGAAGGGCAGAGTCTCGTTCAGGGTCGTTGACTGCCCCTGAACCCGCGTATGCGGGTTCAAATATGGAATATTTTTGGCCGAGCTTACGGGCTCGGAAATCCCACGTTAAACCCGGCCTTGTGCCATATGTAACCCTCGTGGAAGGGTAGCTAAATATCACTTTAGGTTCTTCAAATGCTTCAGGCTAAAGATTATGATGTTCCTGTGGAAATGTGTGAGTCACTCTTCTACCATTACCTTGCTCTTGGTTTTTGGTTGTTTTTATTTAGCGACATATCGAAACCTACTGGTTATTCAGCTCTTGGAAAACTTATTTTTCCGCGACGAATCTATCTTTTCATATCTCTGGTTGGGTAAACCGTCACAACTGTCGAATTTGGAGAAAATCAAACCCAGCAAAAATTCTCGATCTTGAACATCAAGTTTCCTGCCCGACGAATCGATCGAAGGAATACTCTTGAATGGATTCCTCGCTTCCCTGACCTCACAGCTTGTGACTTTTTTTTTTTTGTTGTTTGCAGGGGATATGTCAAAAGCAACTGAAGTCCGTGACCTGTCACAGCTTGAGGAAAGAATCTAAACGGCCCACAACGATGTCTGGGATGAGACACCGTAAAACGTCGGGGAGCACCGCGTCCGAAGGTGGCTGAAGGTTGTCGAAAATGAAGGCGGTCATGTAGAGATATAGAGCTAGACTTCAAGGTTTTAGGACGTGATGGCAGGTCTAGTAATGCAAAACTGCAATGACACCTTTGATGATAATAAAATATGAATAAACCGGTTTTCTTGTTTTAAGAAACGTGTATAGTAACTTTTAGGGCACCATACATACATACATACATACATACATACATACATACATACATATATATGTATATATATATATATATATATATATATATATATATATATAATGAGAAGCCACGTATACTTTCTTAATATGTATATATAGAAAAAGTTTCAAATTAAAATTATAATGTTTTATTTTATGAAAGTATTTATTTATTTATATATATATTTGATATATTTATTTATTTATATATATATTTGATATTTATAATTTATTTGTAACAAACAGTTGTTTCTGATGAAAATTGAGGACAATTTGAAATATCAAATATATATATAAATAAATAAATACTTTCATAAATAAAACATTATAATTTTTTAATTTGAAACTTTTCTATATATATATATATATATATATATATATATATATATATTTGTGTTTTAAGTAGCAATCCTTCTTTCATGCACATTTCATTGAATACGACAGACAAGGTGTTTTTGTTTAGCTTTTTTTTTATACAATTTTTCATGCGATCTAATAATTTTTTTCTTCTTTTTGGATGATAAATTATATAAAAACTGTCCGAATGTTCTTTTTATCCGAGCACATTCGGCTATACATTTAGCCATTTTCAAGGATTAAATATTTTAACTATTAAATAAGAAATAGTTTGTTTTATGTATGTTTTATAAAACGTTTTAACGTTTCAAAACACGGTCAAGATATTATGTCCATGTTCATAGTCAATATTTTTAAGTGTTGTTTTTTTTTTGTTTTTATTAATAAGGCTTCCATTATTTTTAGCCTTTTTTTGCATGTA